TCAGTGCTCAAATACACACACAGCAGTCCAAATGTCTATCGTGTGAGTATCTCACGTAAATACAGTCGGTTATGGATTAAGTGAACGTAAACAGGTGGGTGAAAACTGAACGTGTGTCATACATGCATGCATTCCGTCTTAAAGGGACAGCATTCCTAATTAAGTACCTATCCGTGTCATAATGTTAACCAATAAAAGATGTTAAATAAATATGTTAAGTAAACCTACTGAATCTGAAAACGAGTTTAATTTGTATCTCTTTCGTATTTGTCTTATTGTCTTATTCTGCTTCTTTTTCAAAAATTATATATTATATATGAACAACTATAATTTTTATAAGTTGCTCCCTTTTCACTACTGTTTAATGGATAGTTCACTCAAAAATGAAAAATGTCATCATTTATTCAAGTTTTTCCAAATTCAATCCTTGATTCAAATTTCTCATAAACTTAATTGATTTGGTCTAAAGAGAGAAAAATTAATGGGTATTTTTGTTTGAAGACTACATATAAAATAGCTACCAAAATAAATGTTGGTAACTGCAGTTTGACTAAAAGTAATGACTAAAAGTTGACAAAAATGCAATGACTTTTCGTCGAATAAAACTAGACTAGAAAGACTCAAATGACTAAAATGTGACTAAGACTATTAAGCATTTTCATCTCAAGATAAAGACTAAGACTAAATTAAAAATGCCTGTCAAAACTAACACTGGTACACTACTGTTCAAAAGTTTAGGCTGTTTTTTTTTATTTTTTATTTTTTATTTTTTTAATAATTATTACTTCTATTCAGGGTTGCATTAAATTGATCAGTAAAGTTTGTTACAATATTGTTACAAAAAATATATTTAAAATAAATATTGTCTTTATTGGCTTTTATTCATCCAAAAAATGTTTTATTTTTATTCAATCTTCAAAAAAAAAAGAATAACAATTTCCACAGAAATATTGATGAAATCAAAATGTTTCTTAAGCAGCAAATCAGCATATTACAGTGATGAAAGATCATGTGACACCGAAGACTGGAGTAATGATGCTGAAAATTCAGCTTTACCACCACAAATAAATTTCATTTTAAAATATATTAATTAAATTCTAAATTGCAGTAATATTTCACAATGTTACTATTTTTGACAACATAAATGCAGCCCTGGTGAGAGACTTTTTCTTCTTTCAAAAGTATCACATTAGCCAAATTTTAGCTTTGCACATCACAAGAATAAATTACATTTTAAAATATATTAAAATAGATTTTTTATTATTTTATTTTTTTAATTGAAATATTTTTTCATGGTATCACATTTTTACAAAATGCAATATATATGAATATTGATAAAAAAATATTATTATATTAACTGTGCACCCTAATTATTAGCTTTGGCCTTGTATTGATATTGTGGCTTTGAAGTGGCACAGAGCCCTTCTCTTACTCATTCTGAATCTCTTCTTGTTTCTTCCTTTAGATCGTCATAGCCAAATCACCCATGGCCCCTTTTGCCATGCTGAGCTACACCGTTCAGAGCGAGGGCATCCGTTTCGAGGGTGAGTGTACTAGCATACTGACAAAACTGAACCTCATGAGCTCATGCTCATGTAATCTCCTGTAATAATCCCAGTATGTCATGCTAAAACATGACACCGGTGAAAGACATGTTTAAGTACTAGTGGAAATTAAAATGATTCATAAGAAGTAATCTGACGTTGCTCTAAGTAATCATGATATCACACAGGAACTGTGTAGGCGAAATTTTTTATTTTTTTTGCTAATCCATGTCATACTTAAAAGTATATGTATAATATCTTTTAAGTTTAGTTTTAATTTAGTCATGCAAGATTTCAGTTGTTGCAGGCTAATCTCATTTTTAGTAACTGAAAATCACAACTCCGTAATCTGAGTGTCAGTAATCTGAATCATAAAAAATACCCCGGCTGGTTTGGACAAAGCTAATAACACGAATACACTCGTTTGTGTGTGTGGTTTGTGTTGTTAAACCTTGTGGGTCACAACTTCTACCCACTGCATTTTAACATCCAGGACCTCTGGCTGTCCTGTCAGGACCATTTGAATTCATCTGTGGGCTTCACAGCTTACCTCGCGCCACAAATCTTTAATGGGAAACAGGATATCAGAGGAAAAACACAGTGGGAATGTTTTGGTTCTTCAGCAGAGGTTTATGGTGGTGTGTATGTGGCAGATTTTTAACAGCACTTGGAAGAGAATTCAAAAGAAATTCACCTTGATGCACCCGAGTGATTGATGATTGATATCAGTGGTATCAGTTCAGCATAATTTAATATCAAAGAATAGTCGAACAGTTTACACTTCCTGTTAATGCCTGTGCCACAGTTTATATGAGCTCACATTCAGAAGCTTGTTCTTCTTTTTATTGGGTTTTATTAGAGGAAGCAAGTACTAAATTAGCACATTTGGTACTTTTGTTTAGAGAGCTGTTGTAGATTTTGTATGGGAAATTTATTTTAGTTTATTTACATTAGATAATATGTTAATTTGTTAATTATTTTGTTGATTTATCGGATATTCAACATGAAATCAGCTCGCAGTTGAAAAGTCAGGGAAACTTTTGTTGCTAAAGAACTTGCCACATATATACAGTGGGGAAAATATTTATTTGATCCCCTGCTGATTTTGTAAGTTTGCCCACTTACAAAGAAATGAAGGGTCTGTAATTTTTATGGTAGGTTTATTTTAACGGATAGACACAGAATATCAACCAAAACATCCAGAAAAAACACATTATATAAAGGTTAGAAATTGATTTGCATTTCAATGAGTGAAATAAGTATTTGATCCCCAAGCAAAACATGACTTACTACTTGGTGCAGAAACCCTTGTTGGCAAGCACAGAGGTAAGACGTGTCTTGTAGTTGGTCACCAGGTTTGCACACATCTCAGGAGGGATTTTGATCAACTCCTCTTTACAGATTCTCTCTAAATCCTTAAGGTTTCTTGGCTGTAGTTTGGCAACTCAAAGTTTCAGCTCCCTCCACAGATTTTCTATAGGATTGAGGTCTGGAGACTGGCTAGGCCACTCCATGACCTTAATGTGCTTCTTCTTGAGCCACTCCTTTGTTGCCTTGGCGGTATTTTGGGTCATTGTCATGCTGGAAGACCCATCCATGACCCATCTTCAGTGTTCTGGCTGAGAGGAGGAGGTTCTTGTCCAAGATTTTACAGTACATGGCCCCTTGAATGGGCTACAAGACCATCAGCAAGAAGCTTGGTGAGAAGGAGACAACTGTTGGTGCGATTATTCGGAAATGGAAGAAATACAAAACAACCATCAATCGGCCTTGGTCTGGAGCTCCGTGCAAGATCTTGCCTCATGGGGCAAGGATGATCATGAGAAAGGGGAGGGATCAGCCCCGAACTACACCGGAGGAGCTTGTTAATGATCTTAAGGCAGTTGGGACCACAGTCACCAAGCAAACCATTGGTAACACACTACGCCGCAATGGACTGAAATCCTGCAGCACCCGCAAGGTCCCCCTGCTCAAGAAGGCACATGTACAGGCCCGTTTAAAGTTTGCCAAAGAACATCTAAATGATTCAGAGAAGGCTTGGGAGAAAGTGCTGTGGTCAGATGAGACCAAAATTGAGCTCTTTGGCATTAACTCGACTCGCCGTGTTTGGAGGGAGAGAAATGCTGACTATAACCCCAAGAACACCATCCCTACAGTCAAGCACGGAGGTGAAAACATTATGCTTTGGGGCTGTTTTTCTGCTAAGGGTACAGGACGACTTCACTGCATTGAGGGGCAAATGGACGGGGCCATGTACTGTAAAATCTTGGACGAGAACCTCCTTCCCTCAGCCAGAACACTGAAGATGGGTCATGGATGGGTCTTCCAGCATGACAATGACCCGAAACATACCACCAAGTCAACAAAGGAGTGGCTCAAGAAGAAGCACATTAAAGGGGTCCTATAATGCTTTTTCACTTTCACTTCAATTTTAGTCAGTGTGTAGTGTGTATGTTTGGGCATAAAAAAGATCTTAAAACTTACAAATCTCAAAGTCCACTCCAAAGGGAGATATTTCGTTTTTTTTAAATCCCTTTTCAAGTACTACAACAAACGGCTCCTTGCAGGCTAATCTCATTTTTAGTAACTGAAAATCACAACTCCGTAATCTGAGTGTCAGTAATCTGAATCATAAAAAATACCCCGGCTGGTTTGGACAAAGCTAATAACACGAATACACTCGTTTGTGTGTGTGGTTTGTGTTGTTAAACCTTGTGGGTCACAACTTCTACCCACTGCATTTTAACATCCAGGACCTCTGGCTGTCCTGTCAGGACCATTTGAATTCATCTGTAGGCTTCACAGCTTACCTCGGGGTGGTTTGTGTGGATTTCCAACACCACAAATCTTTAATGGGAAACAGGATATCAGAGGAAAAACACAGTCTTCGCGAGGAGGGACCACCTCGATGGCCATCTTCCTCAAAAGAGTATCTACTTCTTGTTCCATGACCAGCATCAAGGCGGAGGAGAACCAAACTGGATTCTGTAGCCTCTCTCTACAGTGTGCAGGACCCTGACATTCTGGACAAAACAACATCAAATAAGACTCACAAATGGAAATCAGACTGACACACACACAGAGCGCATTCTGAATGACAGAAAGCTGACGCCGGTTTCACCGCACGTGCTTTTATCGCACATATGAAAGAAAAAATAAAATACAGAATTGTATAGTATATGCACAGTGCAACAGCAAAGAGCTTTTTTACATTTTAGAGAAGTCAAGTTGCGATACCGAACAGGACCACATGGAGATGCCAAAAAACCCTGCTGACTGCATTTATCTACTACAGTACACGGATCCATTCAGTATAACTAAACACAGCAACATAAACATGA